AGAAGATATTACATTATGTTCTTAAACTTAAAAAATCAAATCAAAATTTAACTAAACAATGTTGTCTAAATAAAAAGTCAAAATTGTCTAGCTGTCTAAATTAGGGAAATAATAGTGCTTTATTACAGACTCGAATTTCTTTTAGTAGTTTCAGAAAATTATGAACACCCCCCTTGAAAATATTCTGCGTACGCCACTGGTGCTCGATTATTAGAAATTTGAGAAGCGTAAGTTTTGAAAAGAAAACAAACAAACGTAAACATGGAAAATGCATTGATTTTAGATAGTAAATATAGAGGTTTTCGAGATAAACAGGTTCAACTGTGTGTGCTTAGTATATATATATTTATATATATACATATACAAATACACAGACTTATCAAATGTGGATTTTTGAAATGATGGGTGGTTATATGAACTGTTGCCAGCTATTATGTGTGCGTATTGTATCAGCTTGTCATTTTCAGTTATTTTTTATAAGTGTTAAATTTTTGTATCTTTGATACTGGCATTTTGGTGGTGAATTGGCAAATTGTTGTGTTGTAAAAAGCAGACTTTTTGTAATATGCCATGCTTATTACATCAAGCTTATACCATATTCTTAAATTTTTATTTAACAATAGATATGTTGTTTGTTGCTTACTGGATAAATGTTTAGTTATCAAGGGTAAAAATGTCTCGAAAAAATAAAAATTTGTATTTCTTTGCATAAATTTGTGCTGTCAAAATTATATCTATGACATAGGTTTATGATTGTTAAATTGTTAGGCTTCTTAAATCCAAGTGCTTAATTTAAATCAGTCAAATCTATCTTGTACAAAAATTATTTAGAAAGGTTTTCAGACTGCTTATATACAACTGATTTGTTATTGCTCTGCAACTGTTTTGGGAGAATCTTTTTTATTGCCAACTTCAGTGATTATAGCTGTTAATGTGGTGTTGCCATTTCAGAAGGGGGCAATGTGATGTAATGAAGGTAAGTTGGTGGTGGAAAATGTTGAATTAGGTGAAGTTTTATTGGAATTGCATACCCTGGGGCAACATGATGGCATTGTTACAGAACATTACCAAGTTCTTGCAGAAAGATTTTTCATTTGGGAAGTAAAAAATTTTGCTTTTCTTTTCTGCAAAAATTTTGAAAAGATTTTATCTTTTCTTCAGAATTATAATCAAAGGATGCCTTTCTCGTGCATTGAAAAAAATGTGTGGGAAAAAAAATGCTTCAAATTTTTCTATTCTCATTTGAGAATAATAAAAAAAAATAGAATAATGAAGTAAAAAATTTGTTTTTTCTTCCGTTGAAATTTTTGTTCTATTTTTGCTTGCAATTGTTACTACTGATTTCCACTCAGCTTTTAAAATCCGCTTTCTAATGTGATATTATTTATTTTAATATGATATTATTTTTTACGACAACTGAATCTCGAAATGAAAACATGCATTTAGTAACCTCTTTTTGAATAATCCGATTCGTGTGATTTCACCGTCGATCTTTTTTTCGGTAGTTACTGCTACAGATTTTTATTTTTTTCAATGTGATGATGAATTACAAAATGTTAAAAAGGAAATAATTAGTGTGTTATCTTCCTACAAAATGCGAGAATATGGCCCATAATATTAGAGTAAAAAAATTATTACATATTCAATTAAAAAATTTATCTTATTTGATCCCATTTTTTTATTCATTGTATTATTATTTTTTTTTAAGTTAACATTTTTAATTAGTAACATGTATATTTGTTATTTTTAAGTATCTTGTAGAAAGGTATTCGAGAGGTATGTCCCAGAAAGGCCAAAAAAATTCTGCCACAGGGTTGCTTACTTGGTGTTACTGTGTCTGACAGATTTGTGATTGTGTAGATAAAAAGAACCATTCATCACACTTAATGTCTAATTTAAAATTTGTTTTGCACTTTTGATGTTACTCATTGTCATTTTGCTACACTTCCTGTAATTAGACTAGACCCCTTTGGTTTTTCAGCATGCTGTGAGGCAGAGGGTACAGTGTACAAAATAAAAAAGATATCACCCTGAATAACTTTCATTTTCAAATTATAGTGTAATTATTAAGATGTAGTGTAATTTAATTATATATAGTGCTTAAAAATATTTTTTTAATGCTTAAAAGGTTTTTTTTTTTTTTTTTTTTTNTTTTTTTTTTTTTTTTTTTTTTTTTTTTTTTTTTTTTTTTTTTTTTTTTTTTGAAATATTTGGCTATGCACCATGTTGCATCTGTTTACTCTGAAATCAGCTTCAAGAACCTTATTCATACCATCCTGGCTAGGCATATTTGCACTCATGTTCATGATTAAGAATCTTATAAATTTTATTTTTCCAACATGTATAATTATATATCTTTATCTATCTATCTATCTATCTATCTATCTATCTATCTATCTATCTATATATCTATCTANTATATAAATATATAAATATAATTTGTAAGGCTCTAAGGATAACATTTTCTCTCTTTTTACCACAAATTACTTAGTTTTGTGGAAATTTCACTTTAACACAGATTCACACTCGGAAACAGCAGTGTGAAATATTTTTACTTAAGAAAATTTTGTACACTTGATTTTTTTTTTAAATTTAGAAATAATTTTATTTTCAACTAGTGTGATTTCAGGGGCCGTCTTGTTCTTCAAAATAAATGCAAAATCCTCCTTTTTGAAGTCAAAAATAGGGGGTTGACTTATACAGCAGGGCAACATCTACTCTAGAAAATATGGTAAGTTAATTGTTTTTGATTTTTTATGAGAAAATAAAATCATCCATAGGTTTTGCAGTATGCTTATCATAATATTATCTTCATTTCCTGAATTTTATTTATGAAGCAGTTAACAGGTTTTGCTCTTAAACGTCTTCATCAGCTTTTCTTCTTACTTAAGAGTAAGGTGTTATTTCACTTGTTTGATGTTTTTACTGTATATTCAAATAAATTTAAGGATTTAATGATTAAAATGTTAAATTATTCTTTTTATTTGAATAATGTATGTAAAGTATGCAGTGATTTGGAAACATTTTAAAAAACTTATAAAATTTTTATGTAATTTTTATAAAAATTTGAAAAAAATTTTTTATTTCAGTTTTTTTGAATATTTCTCTGATTAATTAATACAAGTTTGAATGTGTCGATTTTTGTTGTCAAAAGCAGGTTTTGGACGTAACAGCATCAGAAACCGCAAGTGAAGGCCAAGGTAGAGAAGGTAGTAAAAAAAAAAAAAAAAAAAAAAAAAAAAAAAAAAAAAAAAAAAAACGGTCTGTGCAGTTTCAGGGTATAAAATTTAAGCTGAAATGTTTTTTTTTTATATAAATATATATATTATGTAAAAATGTATTGGTTTTTCATTGGTGTTTATTTATGTAATAAAATTAGTTCAAAGCTAATTTTAGTTGACATACTTCTAAGAACTCTTGATAAACAGTATAAATTAACAAGGTAAAAAAACCTAAAAAAACTGATAAGAGGGCACCTGAAAATGATTTTTTACAAAATATTGCTCATTAAAATTTTTTTTTAACATAATACAAAATCTCATATATTTGCATCGTACATATAATTAAATACTATTTATTTCTGTTGGAAAAAAACTGCCATTTACGGTGGTGTTCAGTATTCTGAAAGGCCTAAATAATTATTTATTTATTTTTGAGAGAGAGAACTTGGGAAAGGTTAAAATTTATTTCTAAAACTTCTGAAATGTTTGAGAACTTTTAGATTTTCTTAAATGTGTATTATTTAGCTTTCTTTTGTTTACTATAAAAATAATTCCACATTATTTTAATATTTTTCTAAGCTTCAAGTATTAGATAGATAACTCTGTGATTCATATAAATTCTACCATTTTTAACACATTAGTTGAAAAAGAGAATTCAGAACAACCTAGAGAAACATTGCTTTTAAGTATTATCTCTTTTAAAACAAAAGCCATTATTATCAGTTAGTTTGACTAGTTCATGAGGATTTTAAAAAAATGAATAAATGAAATACATTAATCCATAAATTAAATCCATACTTACCATTTTTTTTTTAAAATTTCAGACTGTTTTCCTTAATACTTTATAAGAAATCTTAAAATGCCTTTCTTCCTTCATTTTGTTCATTCTCTCCCTCCCCCCACCTGATTTTAATAAAAATTGAAATATTACCTTCATAAAATGAGCACATTTCTGAAAGAATAGCAAATGAATTTAAAACTATGTCTTTTATCAGTCATCCTTATAATTGTTGCTAGATGATGCTTAAAAAATTAAAATCAAGAATTCAATCACAATATAATTATTTTATTATTATTATAATTACAGTCAAACCCCGCTATAGTGAACCTTCAAGGGATCGAAATTTTTATTCACTATATCCGTAACGCAGGCAATTTAACTAATGGTTCCCAAACTCTTCCCTTTCATTACACATTATTCAAATAAATGACTGAAAAATATTATGTAGTAGCAAAGAATGTGTTGTTTTTCATTAAGCTTCGTCTTGCGTGCAAAAAAAAAAAAATATTAATATTTTTTAGCTGATGAGCAATCCTCAACATCAGATATGGAAACACTTCCTGACTCTCAGATAATTTTTCCTGAATTTCTGCTATTCCGCTTTTTAAACCTGTCTAATCTGGCACTCGAGCACATAAAAGTTGCCTCATAAAATCGCTTAGCAAATTTATCGACATTTGTCCAGATACTGCAAGATTGCGGCTTTTTCGAATGGCGAACCACTTCAGTAATGCTTCTTCAACATCCTTGTGATATGCTTTTCTCAACTTTTCTCTGCCATCAAAATTTTTTTCATGAGCAGAAATAATTAACTGCCTATTTTTCCATTTGTTACAAACTGCAGATTTGGATAGTTTATATTCCCTGCAAATATCAACTTGATTGCATCCATTTTTAATTTTTCTGATTATGCCTATTTTATCATCAATGGGGAGAGTGTTTTACGTTTACTGGTCACCATAGTTAAATGTGAGGCACTTGTTTGCAGACTTTTTTTAACTGAACTGAGAGCAAAAAGGAGTTGAAATGAGGGCCTTATTAACACATAGTGTCCGACCCTTTGACCAATAATGAATAATTACTCATTCCCTCTGACAGAAAATGCATATTGATCCCGCTGATACCTTACAGGTGCATCATCTGCCTGGGTTGAAAACATCTGCTTAGTTTGTTTAGGGATTGAAAAGTGAAATAAAAGAAGCAAACAAGAAAAAATGCTTATCGCTACATTCCCCTCTATAGATGGTTTTAAACATTGGTATATATATTTATTTTGAAGTAGAATTTCAAAATTATTACAAAAAAATGAAGAAAAAAATCAGTCGAAGATAGAAAAAAGTTCGTTATATCCAACTTCCTCATTATTTTGGTTCACTATATCCACAAAAGATAACATTAAACGTGTATAGCAAGGCATGGGACCGAACACTTCGTTCAATATATCCGGGAGTTCACTATAAACCATGTTCACTATAGCGGGGTTTGACTGTATTTATACTTTATATTATGCCTTAGAACTTTCTAATATATTAAGTACAGCTATAACTTTCTGTTAAGCTTTGCTTTCAAATAAATGTATTTTATCTTTTGGCCATTTTATTTGTTTACATTCTTCAGGAATCTTATTTGTAAGGCACATCTGAATCAACATTATATAAATCATAAGTTTATAAAACAGATAGGTTCCACAGTGGATTGATCATTAAGACACGGTTCCCAGCGGATCACCGAAGTCAAGTATCACTGACTTCGGTCAGTGTGCGGGTGGGTGACCACTTGGATTAGTCTGCGTAGGGACCGAGGGTGTGCGGTATTGGTCCTCATTAAACTGTTCTACCATAAAGTGCTCGACTTCGCGTGCAGGTTGTTGGGCTACCGAAGCGGAGGTGCCATCCCCTCTGCAGAGGATCAAAATTGGGATGGCATTTCTTCGGATCATCCTCAGGGATGTTTCCCAGACCGTCGCAAATAGCCCATTGTGCTGCTCTAGTGCGACGTAAATTAACTACAACAACAACAATAGAACAGATAGAATTAAAAACAAAATGTGAAATGTGCTTTTATGTAATTTTTAATTTTATTTAATAAAATTAAGCAAAATAAGTGTTAGGTTTTAATGATATACACATAAGCCTAATTTCTTGCAATAAAAATTCCCTTGTCAGTATGAGTCATTGTTAGAAATTAAGTTATTGTCATTAATGTGCTCAATAGAACATGGTCGTGCCGTGTTCTATTTAGGGAGAGAAATTAAGTGAAAAATATTAGTATTTCAAAATAAGCTGTTGAAATATGTTTTTATTTTATTTTAAACACACTTTAATAAAATTATTTTAAAACATGACCATTTTCTCAAAAATATTAAGCTACAAGCATTAACTGTCACTGATTTTCAAATAAAATGGACACAAACAAATTGTAAAAGAATACAAAATAATTTAGACTAAATTTAAATACTTATAAAGTTAGTAGTAATTATACTTTTGTTGTAAAATTACTTATTTTCATATGAAAAAATGAATAAAATTAATCATGCAACAAATAAAACTTTTATTAATAAATATTGTGCTTAGTTTTTATTACATAATACAAATATAAATTAGGAACAACATAACATTAAAATATTTTTCAATATTAAACATATTTTTGAATACATACTAAATACAGTAAGTTACGGTGCTCAGATAAGTTACTATTTTATAAGTAATGTGCCTTAAACTGTAAAAACATTGAAATTTTATTTAAAATAGTTAAATAAATATTTTATGGGGTCCCATTTCATGGCTAATCGAAATAAAAAATATCAAAGTTCTTGCTGTGTTTGTAAAAAAAAAAAAAAATTGTCAATTGAAGCATTAGATTTTGATGTAGTGAAAGAAAAAAAGAACTAATTGAATTCTTTGAGAATGTAGGTCAATATGTAAGAGTGTGTTCTTGCATTCTGTTTATATGATAATATTCTTTTTAATACTTTTACATATATATCAAAAAATGAATAACTATCATTAAAAAAAGGTTTTTCATTGATAAATTTCTGTAATTTCAAAATTCAATAGCATGTCAGATGCTTGGAATAAGCTGCGTGAACAATTAAGTTCCCTTGAAGGAAAAAAGCTATGTCTAATATTGAAGAAAGAGTAAACTTGTTTGCAAGTGTGAGCATAGATAAAGAACTGGGAAGGAGGTGTCATCTAAATATGAATGCTTAGCTTCTAATAGAATGCTAGCTAAATATGAATGCTGTCATCTAAATATGAATGCTTTCTGTAGCAAAATGAATAAAAAACATGTCAAGCCTGAAGCCAGAAATTGCTTACCGTTTTGGAATTTGTGGTATCTTTTTTAGAGTTTTCTCTTTTAAGTTTTATCTTTAATTTGTTCAAAAAACTTATTTTGGTAGCTCTTATTCAATGTATTTATAACTATTATTATAATTTTTCAAGTTAAGTAATCTACCTCTGCATCACATCTTTTTTTCTTTGCGAGAAAATCAGCTATTTCATTTTCATATAGTCTTTCACAATGAAAGAAAATTTACCTTTGACTTTTCAAGGTTAACAATAATCTCAGATCCCCCCTATAACTTTCAAATCTTTAAATGTCTCTATTGTCTAATAATATGACTACTTGGTTTGCTGATATGGAATATGAAAGTCTAACAGCCTTTTCAACTACTCTTAAAGTTTATTTCACCTTCAAAGCAGTTGTACTTGGATCTAAATTTTAAAA